TACTCTTTGCAATAGAAGAGACTGCATTCTTTAGCTCTCTGATCGCCCTACCTTGTCCTTTCCCTTCGCTGCCACCTTTTAGATCCATTGCAACTTCATCCCAGTCTGGAAACCAAAATAAGTCTTCCATTTCACCAAATCTCTAGAGAATGTGCAAATGTAAGGGAAGTACTGGCCCATTCGAAGGAATGAGTGAGATCAATCTATTCAGTTAGGAGGGGAGACAATTGACTTTCCACTTGAATGAAGTGTGAGACAAGATATTGATTGCACCCTCTCAAGGAGCTTTGCAAGACAGGCTATGTTACAAACACATGGACACGTCTATCAGCATCCAACATGGACACCAGCATCAAAAATGCAAACTATAAAATTGGTCTTTCAAACACAACACAACAGTTGGGATGTTGAAAGAGGGGAGGTGGGATTCTTTTTCAAACTGCCAATTATTTTTATCAAGTAAAGAAGTACAAAAAATTCAAAGACCCACAAGGCGAGTGCTCGAATCCAGAAACCCCTTAGGGTCCCAAAAAATCTTTAAAACCTGTATAGACAACCAAAAAATAACTAGGACAAGATACTTGAGAACTAAAAAAATGCAAAAAAAGAGTTCCTTGCGAGTTATGTTGGGTGTGGCTACAGCATTGGCTTCCCTCCAAGTATGCCTCCATAGGACGTGCATATCCTTACAAATCTGGAATATCGCATAAAAAACTATGGACCTCCATGGACAAGGAGAAGACTTTGAGGCCCATGCAATAACATTCTTCGAATCTCCCTCGACGCAAGGAGGGGCCTCAGATATGGTTAAAGTGCCTAAGGCCATAAAGGAGGGTTGTGGTCTTCACGGTGTTGAAGTCAGCTTGGCCGATAAACCAAGAGTACAAAAACAGAGTACAGCAATCCTTGACATGGAAAATGGCCCCAATGCCTGAGGGCCAGAGTTCCCTAGAGAGCAACCGTCAAAGTTGAACTTGGACTGGCCGCAGTCTAGTGGTCTCCACCAAAGAAGCCCGAGGTATTCGAGTAGGTAGGAAAAAGTGCAATGCCTGCCAATTCTGGTGGACGTCCGAAATCAAACAGTACTTAAAATGTTTGTTGTTTTGCACCCAAAAGATAACCACAGAGCGGACCTTCTCCTTTAGGGCCTTGATGTGGGCCTTCTCACCTCGAAAAATCTTCTTGTTTCTCCCCAACCACATCACCCAAAGAGTAGCAGCCACTGCGGCTTTTCACAAAAGGACACACGACCTGGGCCATGGGATGGAGAGGAAGAACAAGAATAGTAGTGGGGATTGACTGTGGAGTAACCCATGTCCATTTGAAGAGCTGGAGGAGGTCGCCCCAGAGAGCTCCGGCAAAGTCACAATGGATGAAGAGGTGGGCGTTAGTTTCAGCATCGTCGGTGCACATAATACAATTGGTTGGGGATCTGCACCCCCTTTCTTTGCAATTGGTTCACTGTCACAACACGTTCAGAAATGGCTATCCAACAGAAAAATTGAATCTTGGGGGATATACAAGAAGACCAAGATTTGGCTGTTGTGCATGAGGTGGGGATGGCACGGTTGGGGGCCTCCGTAGTGTGCGGTAAAAGGAGGAAACTGAGAAGATGCCCGAATGGGCTGGCGACCAGACAATCTTATCATGCCCGAAAGACGGGATGAAGGTATAGCGGAGAATGGAATGAAATTCTAAGAATTCCAGCATCTCATAATCGGTCAAAGGCCTCCTAAAGTTACAGTTCCATACCCTACAAGACCCCAGAGTTTCAAAGTTAGCAGCTACCGAGGCAAGGGGATGCATGGCCAGATGGAAGAGGCTAGGGAAGCGATCCCTTAAGGGGCATGACCAATCCACAGGTCTGACCAGAAGGAAACTCTTTCGCCAGCTCTCGGCCAAAAGCCGATGTTGGTTGCGAACTGAGTGAGGCAATAGTGCAAGCCTCTCCAAAGCGCTGAGGAATTGTTCAGGGCTCTGGATCTAGGGAACCGGACAGAGGGTTCACAATGGTACTTGTGCCAAATGTAGCACATCCAGCCAAGCTAGTTCCGCTGGGTGGCAAATCTCCACCACCATTTGGCTAGAAGGGCGAGGTGGTTGTTTTTTAGCCTGCGAATGCCTAAGCCCCCTTGAGACATGGGAGGGCAGACTTTATCCCAAGCAATCAGGTGGTACTTCCTCACCTGACCACGGGAAGTTCCTCTATGCAGTCAACCACCGAGGAGGGTATAGAAAAGACAGACATCTGGAAGACGGGAATGCTGGATACGTTAGCCTTAATTAGCAACTGACCTGCTGATGAAAGGAAGCGACCTTTCCAACCCGTGAACCTCCTATCAAATTTATCAATAATGTGTATCCATCGTCGTTGTTCGAGCTTGCCGATGCACAGCAGCAGTCCCAAATAGGAGGAAGGCAGGGGTTGAGCTTTGCACCTCTCGACCGAATAGCCAGGTTAGAACCCGTGAGATTGTCGACGGTAACCCCATCGTCGTAGTTTTGGCTAGATTCACTCTGAAGCCAATGGCCATCTCAAAGCACTTGAGAAAGAGGAGCAGGCAGTCAACCTGCTGGGGGGAGCATCGCAGAACAACAGGGTATCGCCAGCGTATAGAAGGTGGGACATCTCAAGGCCGTTGTTGGAAACTAGAAAACCCTTAAGGAGTCCATTTCGGTACAACCCCGCGAGGGATCTACTGAAGACCTCAGCCGTGATGGCAAAGGGAAATGGTGAGAGGGGGTCCCCTTGCCTAAGACCTCCCGACAAATGGAAGAAACCCCTAGGGGAGCCATTGATGAGGATGGAGAACGAAGGCCTCGACCTGCACCCTCTGATCCACATTCTCTAACGTGAGCCAAAGCCCATCAGCCTTTTCTCAGTCCATTTTGATTACAAGACCTGGAACTTTGACAAGATGCCTTGAATGGATGCACTACCACTAGGGCTCCGTCGAGGATTTGCCTGTCCTTGACAAAAGCCCCTTGGGTTGGGGGTTGATCCATCCAAGGACCCCTCTCAGCCTTGAAGCAAGGACCTTGGATAGAGTTTTGTAAGAGCAGTTCACGAGGCTAATAGGCCAATAGTCTTTGAGCTCCTTTGAAGATCCCTCTCCTAGAGAGTGGGAGCGAGATTCTGAAGCGGAATTGCTACCTAGATTTGGGCAATGCCATGTAACTATATTTTCAATAGCTCTTAAGTATTTTACAGCGACATTCCAACTAATGACTAGGAATAAAAAACCAGACAGAATAGGTATAAAGCAAATTGTCCAATGTTTCCAAATTAGTCCAACTTCGTAGCTTTCCGGCATGAACCGTTTATCTAAGAGAGGTCGTCTTTCTGTGGTTGGAAGTAATGGAATGGTTTCATTATCCAAAATGAAGAACGTTTCCCACCAAAAGATCAATCCAATTATACCACGCAGGTAAATAGCACAATACGTCTTTGTGAGTCTCCGCCTATATTTTCAATTAACTTTTTAAGTATTTTATATTGACATTCCAACTAAAGACATGCCAAAAGAAGCTTGTAAAGTGTCAAACACGTATTACTTGTCTCTAGGGTGTTGAAAGTGCCAAAAACCATGGACATGTGTCTCCAAGTTACATAGAACAGAACATAGAAGAACTATCCCTCAAAGAGAGAGACAACCTGCCTTTTGAACATGAGTACAAGGTTACCCTTGTACAGTGTTTCAAAAAGCGGACCACCCAACGCCTAGGCCCCCAATAAAAGCGAATATCCGTGGGCGCTCACCTAGGCGCCTGGGAACCCGCCTAGGCGCTTGGGAACCCACCTACGTGGCTGCCAAGGGCTTGCACCCCACCCAGGGGTAGAAATGCCCCTCATTGAGGGTATTTTTGGGTCATTTTTTTAATACGAAAGGTACAAAATTGTGGGTTTTAGGTTCATTTGAAACCTAAAACCCATTAGAGCCTATTTTAGAGAGAAAAAACCCGAAAAAAAAAATTCTACTGGGCCGCCTAGGTTTTGGGCACCAGCCTAGGTGCTAGGCGGCCTAGACCCCCCCCCCTTCCGACCGCCTAGGTGCCGCCTAGCGCCTAGCCCTTGCACATGAAGAACATTAGAGCTGGAGACTGATATACATTTTGAAGGTTTTTTGGGGTTCAACGGCTGATTCACCAATGTACTTCCCCCGACTGTCTTCCAGAAATGAAATTGTTCATTCATGGAAGTCACTTGGGCTAATGGAGTGATGAATCTGCCATTTACTAGAAACAACAGATTTCTTTTACCATTTCATTTGATTGCTAGTAATCGTATAATGCCTTCTATTGTCCTGAATTGAGAAATGTTGACGGATGACCATAAATTTGCCCTTCATATGTTCAGAGAAATACGTTTTTGAAGAGAAGATCCGAAATATCATAACCATTCTCCTTTTCATTATTGCTGGATACATGAGACACTATCAGATAGAAATTTTCCACAAAAAAACCAAAATATTGACAGAAAAGATGGATGTTCAAATCTGAATTTCAAATATGAGTTGTAACAAGAACCCAAGAGTTTTACATGCTAGATTTGTATGCTACACAAGTACTGCCACATGACACATGATGATTTTTCTGGTGACCTAAACCATTAGGAATATAATAGGAAACTTAGCTGTGTCTCCTTTAATTTTCTCTGCAACATAGGTTAGACTATGAATGGTCATGATATGTTATTCGGTGGAATCCATTACGAATATAATAGGAAACTTGGCTGTCTCCTTTAATTTTATCTGCAACATATGATAGCCTATAAATAATCATGATATGTTATTTTGTGGAAACAAATATTCCATTTGTGGTTCCCAGTATGGTTTGATTATCTTTAGGATGATAATAAAAGTTGATATGCCTAGTGCAATCAAGGTCAGTTTTAGAAATCTGAATTCTTAACTTACGTTATATAAACATCTAATCAATATTGGAGAACAAAAAATAATTAACCCATGAAGCAGAAATATTCAGGCCAGGCAACAGTTTACCTTCTGTGTGGTTTAGCTAAAGGTGATATTTCTACAGGGTAATCTAGCACAAATGTTGGCTGAACCAGTGTAGGCTCCACAACTGTCTCAAAAACCTGGACCAATAGTAATTAGAACAGGTCATAGTAAACAACATGTAGCAGCTTCGCAAGATTGAGAATCAAAGAAAGTCTGATCAAGTTTTCATCCGTTATCTGTTCATAATGATTATATGCATACTGATTCTCACCTGTATAAATTACCACACAGTGTCCATCTAATAACATTTCTCGAGCATTGTCTTTAAATCAAGAATATCTAAAAAAGGAAAGTATATTTTCTATATAAAAAATCCAATTCATATGACAACTACCTCATTGAGGACATGGCCTACAGATGAACATGTCTCAATTGCAAACTTGTCTTTGTTGTCAGAAGCAAGTCCAAGTGCTGTTATTGCAGCTGCTTTAGCAGCATTAACATCATCACCCATCTCACTGAAATCAATTCCGGTGGCTTCCTTGACCAGATTATGCATAGTTTCTCTTCTCCAAGGTCTTTCCAGAGATATTTCTGTCCCCTATATGTAAGCTGTCAGGTTGATTTTAAACCTTAAAGCAACAATATAAAATCACATGTGATGATCTTGCTCATTTCCAACAGGCAAAAGAGTCAAATAGACATTATATCTGAGGCAATTGCATTTGCTCCATGTTAGACAGTAATTCATTATTCAACAATGCAGGAGAAGGATAGCTAATTTTCATAGTCCTTGACTATTTCCTTGAAGAACCAGTGAGATTTTTTGTACTCTATAAAAGAAACATCTTGGATAAATTATTGGGAAGGGTGTGCTTCTTGTTTTCCCCTAATGAAGATATAATCTCCTTGTTACTATAAATAACTGCAACAGTTATATGCACGAACACATAGAAGGCATATACTAATTTGCACAAAAGGAAGAGACAGATATCCATTGACAGGTGAACTAGTGAGTCCATACACGGATTGATAGGCAAATGAAAATAGAAGTAATGCCTAAGTGCATGAACAAATAGATGATGAACACATGTATATGCATATACGAGAATGTGTGTGTCTATGTAGAAGTGTGTGTGTTTGTGTGTGTATGCCAATGCCACCCGTGTCATGTTCAAATGCATACAAGAGTTTCATTCCCATTGTGGAAACTTCTCCAAGTCAAAAAGAGTTTCTGCTGAGGTTCTCTCTAGTCCGTAGGATAAAACCAAGTCCATAAGTAGCATATTTGGTGTGTCTAGTTTGCAGACCCTCCTAACGCTGAACTAACTAGGGGAAAAACAAAAAAGGAGTTCACAGACCCAAAGAACAACAAAGATAACACGGAACCCTTATTGATTTGCAACTGAAAACTAGCGAGAAAAACACAAAGAAGTGCAAAACTACATTTTCTAAGATAAGTTTCCATATATGGTGAAAGCCTTCTGTTATAGACCTCTGAAAAATGCAAGTCAGTTACGAATTACCAGATTTAGATAAGTAAGATGAGCATTGATTAGGATATGATAGATAAAGGATAAGTATAAAACTGCCCTATAGAAAGAGAAAGTAACAGCTAAGCCAATTATCACACAAGCAAATGAAATGCACTCATTCACAAGACAAACACGGAAAAGCATTGAGAAAGTCACATGCGAGGTTAATATTCATGTGAAATGTGCTCTAACCAGCAGCAAAGAAAAGATCTACTGTTTGGATGGTAACAGCCATAACCACAACTCATCCCACACTACTATGCTTGCCTGTGCGCACGAATCAAAAAGCATAATTAATCACCCAAAGGCAGACCACAAAACCACCTCGGCCCCTTCCCACGCACACCCACTTTCTTTCTCTCAGAGGCCTCCCAAAGGCTTTAGGAAGAATGACCAAATATTTACCAAAAAGGGCTCCTCAACCACCAATATGGAATGAACTAAAAGAGACTTTTTGGTATTTTGGTCCTCGTCCACAATTAGCACCCCCCCCTAAAAAAAAAACTTCGGTCCATGTGCACAAAAATCACAAAAAAGACACCATTTCTTTTTTTAATAAATATGACTTCTTTTTTTTGATAAATTTAATAAATATGACTTTAAAAGACAAATTATTTCATAATGCTCAAATACAAGGAATCCTCGACCTGTTTCAAAAAATACACAGATGCACATGATTGGGCAACAAGCCAAATGACTAAAGTGCACCTACAATACACAAATTGACCAGACCACCACTAGATTACTTCTGCGGCTATGCCTTTAAAAGATGACACATAAACATACAAACATATTAACAAGTTAACCCTGGAATAATTATAAGGCGGCCAATAACTGGAAAGATATAGGCTCACCATGTCTATTGAGTCAATCAATTGTGGAAGCATTAAAGGGTGCCACTATGTAACAAGTTTGCATTGAATCAAGTTTTATTTTATTTTATTTTGGGGGAATTTTATCAAAAAACACATGAGAGATGCATTATTCAGAATTTTAACATTTTCTAGACTATTATGATCATGAGCTTTTTTATGGGCATTTTTTAAATTGAATCAAAAAATGTGGGTACAATGTTAAATAGTTCATCCCATATGGTATTTTGATAATTTTCCCTTTTTCTTTTACCTCAACAAATGAAAGAAATATTAGTTTAATTCATTGAACAAGAATTTACATATATACTGTTACAGATACAGTAAAAATACAAAAAGATGTAACAAATGACAGACTGCCGGACTTCCTGATCATATCACTTATTGAGCTTCCCTACAAATGACATTTTATACCCCTCTTAGTAACAAAGAACCCAAATCTGGGGATATTTCAGCCAAAAGCCATGAGAGCAGCTTTACTTGGTGAAACAGTATTTCGATCTATACAAACTGAACTTTTGCAGTTAATGTCAGTTGTTTGTATTTTATTCAGTGAATACATAGCTATTGTTAAGGAGTCCTGACCATGATAAACAGAAAAGGGTGTTGGCTATATTTCACTAGAGTAATAAGCCTTTCCTACTTTTGAAAAATGCATTAGAATGAGACAACATTCATATCACTTATTAAGCTTCCCTTCAAAGCCCATTTGATACACCTCTTAGTAACAAAGAAACAAATCTGGAGATATTTCATTCAAAGCCAAGCAAGCAGCTTTACTTGGTGAAAGAGAATTTCGATCAATACGAACCAAACATATGCAGTTAATGTCAGTTGTTTGTATTTTATCAGTGAATCCACAATTATTGTTAAGCAGTCCTGACCATGATAAACAGAAAAGAGTGTTGGTTATATTTCACTAGAGTAATAATACTTTCCTACTTTTTGAAAAAATGCATTAGAATGAGAAAACATCAGAACCTGAGAGCATCATGCAACAGCATCATTCAGAGCATACCTGATAGACCACTCTAAGCTTCCCATTCACTACCAAAGAACATCGAGTGACAATTTCCTCCGCCAAGTTCATCATGCTTTCATAGTCTGTATATGCTTCATAAATCTACAACTCAAACTAGAGTTATACCAGTCAGCCTTTCAAATGGGAAGGAAATTGCACTAAAATTTGGATATAAGTAAGTAAGATTGTATTATATCTTATCAAAAGATAGAAAAAGTGAAAAACAAAAAAGACTGAGTTGATACATATATGCCAATTTGGGCATCTAATCAGGCAATCAGTATGGAATTTGAAGTGTTACCTCAATTGTGGTGAACTCAGGATTATGTCGAGTGGATAAGCCTTCGTTTCTAAATATTCGACCTATCTCAAAAACTTTTTCAAACCCCCCAACCTGTCATTTGCACAGAAATTAGCTCAATAGTTAAGGGCTGTATTTTCTGTGAGAGGTTACCATCTCAAGAAAGGTTACGACCATTAAACTACACCTTCATGAAATGGCATCAGAAAGCTTAATGAAACAACCCAGGCATGTCTTTGCATGTAATAAACTTCATGTAATACACTAATATGAAGCTTAGGATACCTGTTGTCAATATGCATTATACTACCAGTGAGGGGATATATAACTGAATCAATCTCACGCATCAAGTTATGGTAATACGCCACATGTATAACCGCCAATTCTGAAGACTCCCCACCACTCTCTAGAGCTATCTAAATCAAGCAAGACCCTGGTATACAAATAGGTCATAATCCAGAAAATACTGACTTGCTCAAGAGATTGGAGATGTACATATGAAACAGAAGATAGGGACATGGTTCCCATGCATGCTTCTTATATCTGAAAGACTTTGGGAACACCATTTGCATCATTAGCATTATAAATTTTTAGATTGAAGTCCCAGTGCAAAAGAAACACTAATTATGATTTTAATGCATGACAAACCTTCATTTAAGCTTCCCACTCTACATTTTAGGGGCAGACTACAAGACGTTTCGAATTAGTTTCAGGAGGAATATGACATCTTCCTATGTCCTCTCCAGAGAGATGTGTTCTCTATAGACCATTAAAGTTACATATCCATAAGCATAAAAATTCTAAGCACAAGAAAAAACTGATAAAATTCCAAAGCTAAATATACCATTTTTTCATAGGGGCTACTTCAGTGACATGAAGGAGCAAGGACAGCATCGAATTTTATCCTTTAGTAAGTCCAATATAGGTTATGCCATCAATCATGCATGATCCAAGATAACAACACTGAATGAAAACAGCCATATATATGCATCATTAAAACAATTTGCACTAGAGTAATGGAGCAAGTTTTCCAAGTGTAGACAAACAAATAGAAGTAGACTGTCATTTTGCCAAGGAAAAGATATTTCTGAAATGATTGAGAAGCAATGCAAGATAGACAAACATATCTGCAAACTAATAATGGCAGATATTGATGAACTTGTTTAAGGGGTCAACCATAATTTAAGATATTCTTTTTTGGATGACTGGTCATGAGACATAAATCAGATACACATAACATCAATCCACACTCAGGAGTACATACAGAAATAATACTTGAGACAAATACAGCAAGAAGGATGGGAAAGAGACACAGGACAGGATAGATGACAAATTACACTGATAACTTCTCCTCTCACTCATTTCTATGCTAAACGACCGAATCAGTAACTGCCCTATCCTGGTGCAATTCGATCAATAAAAACAGTATAAGGCTGCACGCAACATTTTATAGAAGGAAGCAAGGTAAGAGAGAAAAAACTTACCAGCATTCGTTTTAGGTGAAGCTCCGTTGCAATCCTCAAATAAAGGTCTCGTCCAAGTGAATTGTGGTAAGTAATAAATGGCCTAGCTTCTGCACCACCTGCAGCTCCCTTATAACATAAATCAAGAACCATTTCAGAAAAGCAGCTCCTAACAGCAACTAGAGGTCCCCACAGCAACTAAGGCACCTTCAGAACAACAATAGTCTTTAAAACTGAAGCAAATTAGAATATTAATGGAATTCGTAATAATAATTGCCCGCATGATTCAACCCTGATATATGATAAATGTTGGATCAGCTGAAATATATTGGAAGAAAGACAACATAAATCAAAAACCATTTCAGAAAGCAGCTCCTAACTGCAACTAGAGGTTCCCACAGCAACTAAGGCACCTTCAGAACAACAATAGTCGTTAAAACTGAAGCCAATTAGAGTATTAATGGAATTCGTAATAATAATTGCCCGCATGATTCAATCCTGATATATGATAAACGTTGGATCAACTGATATATATTGGAAGAAAGACAACAAATAGGAATCTGGAAACCAATAAGAGAACCATTATATGTATCCAAAACCATTAGATGTAACCAATTCTACTACAAAACATCATAAGGGAAATACTAAAGGAAGAACTTAATAACCATATAAAAATCTTCTCTTCCCTCCCTTCCTCCCTCCCTCCCCTCCCTCCTTCCCTCCCTCCCTTCCTCCCTCCCAACAAGGCTCTACAGATGGCAAGTTTCACATCATATACACCTTAATAATATAGGGAAGAGTTTTCCGGTTGAATCCAACAAAATCCCATCAGTAATCAAAGAGAACGTGTGTATACTAATATTTATGATTACATAGATTTAATTATGAATGCAATCAAAACCAAAGATCAGCAGGACAAAATACAAATTAATGACTAGATACCTGCAAAACAGGAGTCTCGAGTTCAACAAATTCCAAAGCTTCCATTGTTCTTCGAATCTCTGACACAATCTATATGAATAAAGCAGAATCAGGTATCCATGCAATATGCACAATAGAACATACTGCTATTGGAAATAAAAGAATATAGAAACATGTCCAAGCTAACAAACTATCATGTGCTGCGAGGGACTTTTACCAACTATATTTACATGAAAAATGGATATAAATCATGATCTCCCAACACAATCCAGAAATGAAGATGTCTTTGTAGCAATAAATAAAATTGTCCAAGAAAATGCAACTCAAACTATTGAAGGCAAGTGCATTTCGAGGGTATCTTTCATGGAGGGTTAGCGAATCAGACATTTATCTGTCTATCTATCTATTTAACCCTACCTATCCATATGTGTTTGCATGTTTGTGTCTGCATGCTTAAAAGTGACTATATCAATGCTCATACACTAAAATGAAGAAGTGAGAGTGTGTAATTATTAATACTCAAGCATATAATATACCTCCAAACGCACACACGTGCACATGCATCCACGCACACACACATGAAAATACCTGAAGACAGACGGCAGAACACACACAGACACATTTTCTGCATACATACGTCCGTGTGTGAATCTAGTACTTCCTATAAGCATAAAACATAAATACACACCCACACACACTTATATAGTAATCTAACCAAAATTTCATGATATACAACTCAAGTTAATCAATTAATGAAAACATGTCCATAACAGTTTGTCCATAACAGTTTGTCCATAACAGAATTAAGTATATGGCTTCAATAGTAAAAAGAATCCATGCAGAATCCATCAAAATGATAGCATCCTACATTTCCAAACTTAGTTAGAAAATAGAAATCTGACATGATTCACCACCTTTGCTCTTGCTCGGAAAACATCTGCAACCTCAGGATTTGCAATCATGTCAACATATCTGAAAACTCAAGCACAGACAAAATGAATAACACAAGAACCAAGCCAAATAAAAGCACAAGCGCATAACTCTTTTGTACATGAAAATTTTGAAAACAAACAAACTAATAAGACCAGAAGAATATAGGTAGAATATTCAGATATCTGCAGAATACAACTGGACATTCGCAGAATTAAATGAAAGACACTTCTTGAATAGAACAAAGTCAAAGAGATACTTATCAATACGACACCCAAAACGACAAACTCCATGAGTATACAATGAACAATATACTAAGAAATCAACTCCATGTCAAGGCTGGCAAAATCAAATTTCTGCTACCATTCAGCATCCACTAGCAACATCATACAGATGAAAGATGAATGATTTTTATATATTTTTTAATCTGGAGATAGAATGCATGCTTGGAATGCTAAAAAACGGTATGATATCATGATCAGAAAAATGGGAGTTTGAAAGAACAATAATTTCAACAATAAAAAACAAACAAACAAACAAAAGACCACAAGCTTTACTAAGCATGATGGGAGGTTTTCAATGAGATGCAGATGATGGAGTTTGTTGATGCTGGACTTCAAATTAAGTTCTCTCTTTTTATTTCACATTAATTTATATATATATATATAAAAAAAAAAAGGAAAGGTGGGGAACCAAACTGACAAGGAAATTTCCTTAGATGACATTACAAGTGGTTTGCAATCAAGAACAAACAGAAGCACATTATATGTATCATATATAACAACAGAGGTGGGCCAAACCATGATAAGCATAGAGGAAAATGAAATCAAGTTGGGTCAGAACAATGCAAATTTGTCAAGCTAAAGTTCCAAGTAGACAAGAATGAAAAATGAGAAACTCTTCGCTTTATGCTAGAATATCAAGATACAGGGAAGCCCCACAAGGAAGTATTCCATGTTACAGGGTGCAAGTTCTCTCTCTGGTGGTGATACCCACTTTCTCACTTCCCGAAGTATGGTTAACATTGGTTTATGTTGTTATTTAGTATTTCTTTTTCCGATCTCTTTTCTCAAACTAATAACATGCCTACTTCTATGACTGCCATGTATATTGTGTTTATTTACTAACACCAATGACTCCATCATTGAGGCACAACACAATAGATCCACATGAAGAAATCAGAATGGGAGTATATCTTAGAATATCCTCAAGAGACGATCTGTTCCACGCATGCACATCATTGATCCATATGAGTAAATTCAAAAAGGAAAATGTCCCACATATCAACAACAGCTTACAGAGTCAAATCCTGATGATGACAAAGTTGGTTAAAAAGGTCGAATTACATTATATAGGTTAATATCCAACCTTCTTCTTTTTTTTCTTTTATTTGGGCGGGGGTGGGGGGGGAGGGGGGGGGGAAGCGGGGTGGGGGGAATCAGTAACAACTAATATCCAGCGACTAAAGCATGTAACTCCAGGATGCACCATGCATTAATCCTTCTCAAAAATAACACGCAGGGGGAACTCTCAACCCTACTTGAAATAATGGGAAAAGACTCACCGTTGGCGATAACGCTTATCCACATCAGTAAGACCATGATACTTGTCTGGTAACGGGAGTAGTGATTTTGTAAGGACCGAAAAGAACTTAACATAAACAGAAAGTTCCCCTGCAAAAAGTTGGTAAAAAACATAAGAAGGTTTTTGGGAAACAAAAGAGGGGAGAGCTTCTTTTGATCATGGCCATATATATATATATATATATATGTGACCATTTTTTTGTGAGAATGGATCATGGTTTTATAGGTTCAAACAACAAGAACAAAAAACGCTCGTTCATTACAAATAAAAGAAATGGAGAAAGAAGTTACCATCTAAGGCTCTAAGATGAGATATTGAAGTTTTTCAAAAGGTCAAGGATGGAATCTATTTGAAAAGAAAAAATAAAATAAAACATAGAAGCAGGTTCAAACTGATGAGAGGAATCAAAAGGGTTATAAATTGAGAGAACATGAACTGTAAAATATAACAGCTCACTGCAAAATAAATAATAATCATACTAACAATAATTAAAAAGAAAAAAGAAAAAAGAAACCTAATATATCAAAACATAGAAGTCAAAGAAATTTAGCATGAACATCCTAAACCTTATTCAAAAGCTCACCTTTCTCTGTCCTCTTTACTGAACCACTAACACCAAGTATGTCCCCAATATCAAGAACTGTCTTTAACTGCTCAAATTGGTAGTCTTGAAGTTTCTCCTTCTCACAGTACAGCTGGAAACATACACAACAGACATCAACTCAAGCCACAACCTTAAATCCCACTTCTTAGGTCCAAAGAAATCTAATTTTTAATGCTTCATATAAGCTGGATACTATCCTAAATCCAACACAACAGCGACTGTGGTGAAGGATAAAGTGACTTCAACGAACCTGAATTGTACCAGAGTCATCTCTTAAAGTCAGAAAAGCAAGTTTACCAAAAGCTCTCCGTGCAACAATCCTTCCTGCTACAGATACTTGATCCTCTTCATTGTTCACCTCTTGACCATTCTCTAGATGATGATATAACTTTTGCAACTGATTGGTTGTATGGGTCCTATCCCACTTATATGCATAGGGCTCATAGCCCTGCGCTCTCAGGTCCTCCACCTAAAACACAGTAATCAACAGATAAATTGTGACCCAACACTGATGCCAGTATAAGAAAAACAAAGCTTCATACTACCACCGAAAAGAATAGAAAACTAAGACAAAGCACATTAAAAGAGTTAACTCATTTTTGTGGAAAAGAGTGACAACAACCACCAAGTAATACCTAACAATGTAAGAAACCAAAGTCCTAAATCATTCTCGTAGACAAAGGAAGTCCATTTATGACTTTCACATCAGCTTGCATAAGCTCGCTGAAATTGTTTCATCTCTCCTTTCTTTGTGATTCATAGACCATTGTTTGCAGAATTCTCTTAGAAAAATTACATTTCAACATGCATTCACCAGACAATTGTCAAATCTGAAAAGACATTAAAATAACACTCTGAATTGACAAGTACATCAGTTTCATTCTCTATATTTATTTTCTTTATTTTTCTGCTTCGATTTCCACTTTCTCTCATAATTCTTTCCAGTGGTTTGTGCTCCTGGAATATTTCCACATGTTAAATTAGAAAAAAAAAGAAAGAAATTGAATATAATTGTAACTTTTAAGGGCAAAATGCTATCAAAACTAATAGTAATATTGCTTGGAATAATGAATTAGTAATCTGAATGGCGAAGACACCATAAGATTCCTGCTAGTGAAAGAATATTCAGTTCTGACCATTGGGAAGCAGATACACCTGCTTGGTTTCAGGGAATAGCTCAACCTTTCCTATCAATATTAGCTCACACAACACTAACTCTTTGAAGCAGGCAATGCATGCTCTATTTCCTGATAAAACCAAATCACTTCTTTTAAAATAAGTTGACATGACCGATTGCCACATATTCAGAAGACTCAGATAAATGTCTACACGTAATTAAACATTCAGAAGATAGAAGTATGACAAAGAGGACGCAAAGACTTTAAATAAGCATGCAAACCATCACATAATTCCAAAAAATTAAAAACACAAATTTTTAAGTATCATAAGCTCCTCAACAATTACGTTAACTGCAAATAAATGCAGATAACCATTAAAATGCACAAGAACACCAAGAATGCAGATAAATAGCCATTAAAAGTGAAACTCAAAAAGAAAGAAGAAAAACAATTAAAGAAAATGAAATATGTTAGGTTATCAAAAGTCTTGCCTTTTTAAGACGAATGACGCGAACCGCATCTCTATCAGAGGTGGAAGTGGAGGCAGACCTTCTTCGATCAGAAACCCTTATTGAAGAGGAAGAACCAGAAGAAGGAGAAGCAGAAGAAGAAAACTTAATGAATGCAGAAGAAGAAGTTAAAGTTGCAGAGCAAATAAAACGCTTGAATGAAGATAATCTCCAGGCCTTAAATGCTTCCATGGCTGCTGCTTCTGGAAAACCTTAAACCCCAAGCAAGAGCCTAAAATGGTGGAAGAGAAGGTTTCGATATATTTTCCTCTTCTTCTTTTTTTTTGAAATCCTACTTGGCCTCTGAAGTCTAAAATTTAGAGTTAGAGAGTTAGCTACAGTTTTGCAATTTCTCCCTCCATTTTTGGACCAAAAAAAATTTAAAGATCAGAGCTTCAGCGTACTGGGGCAGGCCAACGCTGCTCGACCCTTGACGGGCCCTAATCTAAAGCTATAGAATAATTTTTAGATAAAATCAATTTACCAAGATATTTTACGAGTTTTTGTTTTGGACTCAGGTTTCTATGCGGCCAAACCCACATATGTAGAAATGCGGGCTTCTCAATAAATCTATTTTTTGATGGATTTTAAGACTTTATTTTTAAGGACACGTAATCTCTAACATAGAGATCATGAATATGAATAAATAAATAATTTTACAAAACTGAAAATAATAATTCTAATAAGAAAACATTTAGACCGTTAGTTTCCATTTTTTTTAAATGGAACACCTACTTGCGTCCATCTTTAAGATAGATGCGTTATACTTTCTGGACCGCATATATAGAAATGAAATCCAACCCGCATGAAAAAAGAAGTTTGTTTTTATGGAAATGAAAAGCAATTTACCAAGATATTTTATAAGTTTTTGTAAGGTTTAGGCTTTATGAAAACAAAATAAAACCTCATCTCAAATCCATGTCCATAAAGCGCTTCCGGCAAACGGAAATATCCATGATAGCTTTAACATCAATTTTCAATACCAAAAGTAAAATTTTAAATTTAAAAAATGCAAAGATATTATGGATCTATGAACATTTAATTTTAGGGCGAAATGGACGGTGTAAAAAATTTGTTATAATATACACTATTTGTAGAGCTTGGAATTTTTTTTTTTTCATAATCATAATGTTCAAGTCGAAATGATCGATTTAAAGGTTTTCCAATGCCTGAACATCAAATTTCGATGAGTTATACAATGAGGCTATACTGATTTTTATAGGGTTGCAACCCTATTAAATCATTTTCCATAAAAAACTCACTTCGGGATAACTCGTATGTTGAGTGAAATTGGCTAGCAATTTAAAATGGGTGCGGTTGGGATAAGGTCCCAAGTCCCAACCTTAAACAAGTAAAGCAAGGTGCACTTCTAAATCATATGGAGAGATGTTTCAGTCCCAAAAAATCCTACAATTACTCAAAAATCTATTTTTTATCTTTAATTATAAAATTTAAAGCTCAAAAAATAATATAGATAGAGTTGATCTATCAATACTTGACATTCTTGAAAACAGATGATTCAAATAATACATAACAAGATGCATATTCCCGACTTGAAAAAAAATAAATTCATGTATATATGTGGCACACCTCAAAGTGGAATTGATCAATTCGTGGATTTTTTTAGCATCAAAACGATCTTTTTTAGGTGGGAATTTGTAATGCACCTGTAAGGTAGACACTTGATATAAACTTTTTCTATTTAAAATTGAAAAGAAATAAAGCTCTACAATGCTTCACTCAATGAGATCCCAATGGTCTCATCAGTTTTCAATCATTGGGTTTCCATGATGATTTATAAATTTTAGTTGTTCTTCACATAGGTAAAAGTTTATATAAAGTGTCAACCTTATACTATAGGGATAAGGTTGTTCTCATGCTGGAAAACCCTCAAATCACCCATTTTGACCTCGGAATTTCTAGTCTTAAAATAGGCATCTTCAAACACATTATTTGAACCATCCATTTTCGAGATTTTGAAGTGTTTATATATTTGCTTGATCGTCACCATTTCTTCTTCTTTTTTACGGAAATTCTATAAATTTTGTTCAATTATAAAAGTAGTACAATAGATTAGGAAAGGAGAACATCATAAACCACCAAATTATCAGGAAAATAATCATGTTTAGCAAGGGAATCCACCATGACATTTACCTCCCTAAAGACATGAAGAAAGGAAATGGATAAAAGGCTAGAGAGATCCAATAAGAAAAATCTAAGCTCCCATGGTACTTTCTTCTCCATTTTGCACCAGTTTATAACGTTCAAAGTGTCCCCTTCACACCTCGTCCCAAAATTCTTATCCCTGAAGAGACGAAGACCTTGAATAAGAGCATAAAATTCAACAAAGTTTGATGTCTTTACCCCTAACGGCCATGCATAAGAAAACAAGATATGACCCTCCCAATCCCTAAAAACACCTCCATAACCCGCAACCCCAAGATTTCCATATGAACTCCCATCAAAATTCAATTTAAACATCCCTCTGACTGGCGAAGACCATCTTTCCATGGGTCTCACCTTGCGGCATCCTAACTGGAAAAGAGTAGATAAATTGAACATTACATCAACCTCAACAATATCTTTCCCCACCTTATGAACCGCTAAGTACATCCAGACAAAATGGAGGATCTTCTCCAACACGCTATTCCAAGGCAATGAGGCCCCCTCAAATACTCTTTGGTTTCGTTCCTTTCAAATTTCCCAAAGAATCACTCCTCGACTTAGTTGCCAATTAATAGCACCAGTTTGAGGTAAAGAAGGGACCGAAAGAGCATGCAAATCTCCCATAACATCTGCATGTAAGAATAAAGGGGAACCTAATTGTCGAAACCAAATATCATGAGAGTAAGGGCAATGCAAACTACCCACTCTTGGTCCGAGCCGAGACTCATACTCTTCTCTTTCTTTCTCTTTCTTCTCTCTTTCTCTCTTCTCTCTTTCTCTCTCTTCTCTCTCTTCTCTCTTTCTTTCTACACTCTCTCTCCCTTCTCTCTCTTCTTCTGGCAAGACCTAACGTCGATTGGCCTTCTCTCTCTTCTTCTAACGAGATCTAATGCCGGTTGGCCTTCTCTCTCTTCTTCTAGTGAGACCTAATGTCGGTTGGCCTTCTATCTCTTCTTCTGTCAACTGGCGAGACCTAGCGCCGGTTGGCTTTCTATCTCTTCTTTTGTCAACTGGCGAGACCTAGCGTTGGTTGGCTTTCTCTCTCTTCTTTTGTCAAGGGGTGAGACTTAGCGCTAGTTGGTCTTCTCTCTCTTCGTTTATCAGTCAGTGAGACTTAGAGTCGGTTGGTTTCCTCTCTCTTACTTTGCCAGCCAGCAAGACCTAGCACTAGTTGATCTTCTCTCTATTCGTCTATCAATCGACGAGACTTAGTGCTGGTTGGTTTCCTCTCTCTTCATCTATCAGTCGGCGAGACCTAGCATTGGTCGGTTTTCTCTCTCTTCTTCTACCAGTCGGTTATGCCTAACGTCGGTTGTCTTTTCTCTCTCTACCAGTCGGTAAGGCCTAGTGCCGGTTGGTCTTCTCTATCTTCTTCTATCAGTCAGTGAGACCTAACGCCAACTGGTTTTCTCTCTCCTCTTCTATCAGTCGGCAAGACTAAGCGCCAGTTGGCTCCCTTCCTCTCTTCTCATCTGACACAGTCGGCGAAGCCTAACTCCGACTGCTTCCTCTTTCTCCCATCTCTGAAATAGTCGGCGATGTCTAACGCCTACTGCATCTCCTCTTCCTTCTTCTTCCTCCTCTCTTCCTTATTCTTTCTCCTTTCATTTATCCTCTTCTTCTCTTTAACCATTCCCTTGCTGCTCTCTCGTTCGACCAAGAGGGATTGAGGTTAGCATCGCATGGCAGTCTTGTCGTCTAGCTATAATGTTGTTGCGCCAGGTTCGCTTGGTCCGCTTTATTGCCATGACAGACCGACCATCGTGCCTAGCTAATCGATATCGGCAATAACGTCTAGTAGCGATCTTGTGAGTCGGTCTCAGTTATCAAGCCCATTTCGTTATCACATTATGTCAATTATCTGCCAGCCTAGTCATTGCTCTGATCCTCTAGCTTGGCCGAATTTTTCCCTCCCCCCATCTTTCTTTCTTCTTTTTGAATGTGCATGCTTGTGTAACCTCATTAGAGAGGAAAAGGGTGAGGTCTGACCCACCTATCCTGTAACCTTTGCCATATATGTTCGTGATTGCAGAGAAGCAAAAAATAAGAAGAATACGAGCCAAGGGAGGCAATGCCATACCAGTTTTATTACTAGGGGCCTTTCTTCGTGATCTAAGAGGGCGCCTACATGAGTCAGCCTGAGTAAGTCCCGAACCCACCTTTTAAATTCCTCTCTCACCAGTTGGTAACACCTGCCCCCATTTTCAAATAAAGTTCCCGAGAGAGCGATGTCATGAACATCCTGGGTCTTCCTCAAAACCCGAGACGTGAGCCGCCCGATCCCCCAGGGATCTGAAGGGCAAGATCGAGGCACCTAACCAGTGCCGCCCAGCAACACCACAAGTACTGCCCAGGTCCAGGCGACACAACCATGTGTCACCCAAAGTCATAGGTCTCGAAAAATTTAGGACCTTGGTTCTTGCTGCACACCAATTTTTAAGTAAAAATTTAAATTTTTTAAAAATATGAAAAAATATTTTTCTTAAAACTTTGTATTTTAGTTGTCTGCCTTGGGTGACACCACCAGTGCCACCCAGTTCCAGGCGACACCACCTGTGTCACCCAGGCGACATTCCCTGTGTCACCCACAATCAGAGGTCCTGGAAACACCCACCCCCGCCGCCGCCCGCCCCCCCCTCCCACCCCCACAACCCTTCAGGACCCTTCATCTTACTACTCAGCAAATTTTGGGTCAAAATAAATTGTTCAAAAAATACAAAAAAATATTTTGCTTGAGACAGATCTTTGTGCTTTTCTTATTTTATTTTACTTTAATTTATTTTGTTAGAAATCATGATTTCCCTTCTTTATCATGCTTAGTTTAACTCTGCCTCATTAAAACTAAAAAAATTAAATTAAATTAATTATTTTGAGCGTTGCTTGCACTCTCTTTGAATTGTGTCCCGTTCGAGTCACCCTGGACTCGGGTCGCACTCGACTAGGCACGAACTATGCCTAGTTTCACTCTTATTTTACTGTATAACTTCTTAGGGGTTGCTTACCCCTCCATCTTTACTGTGCTATCGAGCGAGCTCAGCCTCGAAGCACGCATCGCTTGACATGATTGGTGCCGAGTGCTCACTTTATTTCTTTCTTGCATTGTGTGTTTGCTTGCTTGCCATTTTATTTTTGCTTGTGTGCTTCTTTACACACTCTTGCACAGTGTGCTTCTTTACACACTCTTGCACACACCGGACCGGGGAAGCCCCGGGAAACCAACAAATATTTTTGAAAATCCCCAAAATCCACAAAAACTGTGTGAGGGGAACCTAGCATTG